GGGGGCAGTCAGGCCTAGGAAAAAATGTTGTGTTCAGTCCTGAAAAAATCAGGGTCCATTGGTAGGGATTATCTGTTTATTTTTTTATTTCACCCTGCATGTCGCTTCATATTTTTTTTTGAAAAAAAATCCAAGAAACAACAAATTAAATTGGTGTGAACTAATCTTAAATCTCTTAGCTCTCCTTTTTATAACCACCTTTGTGTAACACTCCTAGATTTAGTATTTTACAGCAGATAATTCATGGTCTGTTCTGTCCTTAGTGTCAGCCGTGCTATTTGTTAGATTTTTAATAACATCCTGTTAACCATGCATAAAGCAGCATGACAGGGTTGCTCTTATGTCACTTGTTATACCGGCTATAAAACCATGTGCTGTGGACTATAGGGCAGGCTGGAACAATTATTTTACAAGCAGAGGTTTGGGCTTATTTTTGGCATGTTTTTGTGTTTCCTGTTTCCTGACAGACCCTAGCTAGAAAAACCTGCCGACCCTTGACTTTTTTGGGCGCTAGACCCCTGCAAGGGCAGGGCTCGAAATTAACATTGTCCCAGTGTCAAATGACACTAAATTTTCAGCTTGGGACAATTCAAATTACGTTTCGGGACAATTTCGGGGCAATTTGAACATTCTGAGACCTTTCACGTCATTTGGGAACGTGATCCATCCATCCTGCTGCTGGCTGCCGGCAGCCCATAATACTCTAACAAACATTTAAATTTGACCAATCAAGGATTCCAAATACCGGGGAGGGGGGGCCTGAAAGATGGTGCCGTATTTCCCTACATTTACTTATAAAGTGGACTTCAAGTTGTACAAATTCAGTTGTTTTTTTTCCTATTGTTGTCATTAACTTATTTCCTGAAAAGCAGGCTGGGACAGTCCATCTTCAGTTTGGGACAAAATTAAAATCTATATTCGGGACAATTCCGGGACAGTAGTAAAAAAAGTTAATTTCGAGGCCTGAAGGGACATAAACTTTTTGAGCTGATCAACCTTTTCTAGCTCCATGATCTGACACCTGAGTGATAAAACATTATACAATGTTGGTTTTCTACCATTGACATTGGTGTGGCCTTATAAGATATATACAATCTAACCCGTCACAATAACCACAGAACTGTTGTAAAGACGTGTTGACAGGAATTGTGGGTATGACAAACGCGGCGAGACTGATCGATACCGCTGCACGCGACCTCTGACCCCCAGCTTTATCTCGCGCGCCGGCGGACGGGAGAAACGAGAAACGCGGATCGCGAGAAAACCAATCAAATCGCCCTGCCAGCAACCCCAATTATCACCAGCGAAAGATTCACAGCGAATCCCTCTGTCAGGCCATAGCAAGGCAAGGTGCTGGTTCTGGACTTGTTTAGTCGTTACTCTAGCAATTAACGACAAAAAAAACTCGTTACAATTATCACCAACCAGAGACTCACAGCGAATCCCTTAGTCAGGCCACAGCAAGGAAAGGTGCTGGTTCTGGACTCGTTTAGTTGTCACTCTAGCAATTAACGACAAAAAACTTGTTACAATTATCACCAGCCCAAGACTGGTGGCGAATACCTCAGTCAGGCCACAGCAAGGCAAGGTGCTGGTTCTGGACTTTTTTAGTCGTTACTCCTGCAGTTAAAAACTCGTTACAATTATCACCAGCCGGAGACTCACAGCGAATACCTCTGTTAGGCTGTATCAAGGAAAGTTCCTGGTTCTGGATTCATTACAAATAATTAACAACAACAAAAATTGTTACAAGCAATTAACAACAACCTGGACTCGTTACACCTGCAGTTAACGACAAAAAAATTGTTACAAATAATTTTCACCAACCCGAGACTGATAAATCCTTAAGTTAGGCTGTAGCAAGGATAGTTCCTGGTTCTGGACTCGTTATAAACAATTAACAACAAAAAAAAAACACTGTGGATTATCTAAATCAGTGAAGATTAGGGATACAGAAAGGAGAGTTCCTGGTTCTGGACTCGGTACAAATAATTAACAACAAATAAAATTGTTAAATTTGTATATTATTATATACTAAATACAAGGCTGGCTAAGGATGTAGGTTAAGTAACAGTTATAGGTCGTAAATATTCTGAGTGTTATGATAAGTGTGTGTAAGTCTAATGTGTTAATAGGTTTGTAATACAGTCAAACCTGGCCAAGTAGACCACCCAGGGGACCACTCAAATTTGGCCTACTTGAGCAGGTGGTCTATTTGAAGAAAATCAGACCAACGACCAAGACATTTACAAGTATTATCATATTACTAGTATTATGTATTATAAACCATTATTGCATCATCATCAAAGTACTTTAGTACATGTATATTTTTACTCATCCTTTCTTGACTACAACATGCACACAAAAGTATAGTACTAGTGGTTGACACATGAACAAGCAAAACACTGATGTACTTCCAGAAATAAAATATTTATTGCATAGAAAGTACATGTACTAGTATTTGATTTTTATACAATCATGTACCACAGTAAAAAGCTTTGAAATTTCACAGCTTACTAGTATCTACACTTGGGTGTTTATAAAATTTAGCCTACATTACGATATAGAGGTTTTTACAGAAACGATAAGGCGTTCATTTTGTGCTACTATGGGACTTTTTCGAAAACAATGAGACGAGTTACAAAATTCAGCGTCACCCAAGCGTGCAGACAACAACAATCAAAATGGCGCCCCGGCGGCCAACTTCACAAACGAGTTACAAACTACGAGAAATGAGGCATAAATCTGCTTAATTCCGAGGTTGAAATACAATCAAAAGTTACCGTCATTTGTACTACTGAAAATGTAAAAGCCCCAGTAGCGTGCTAGCACGTGCTACGACTAAGACGAATCGAAAATTTGGGAACCAGGCGTAGTGAAAGAAAATGGCGTCACATTTTTGCGAGTCAACTTTTACGGCAAAAAATACAATTGAACGTTACTGTTAAAGGCTACAGTGTCTGTAGAACTTTCTCGATGTCACCCTGGATTCCATTACGCTCCCATCCTAGGGCGAAGACGCCGGGCTTCGCTGTAAGCTCGTCTGCGGCCCTGCACATGCAGCGGCGTGCAGCGGCATGGCATGCCACATGCAGCGGCTTGAAATTGTTAAAATCCCCACGGTCTGTATGAATCGTTCACCAGACCAGTTGTCGACCAGACTTTTTCTTCAAGTTAATTATGACGCCCCGACGTTTGTAATTTTCCGAGACGCTTCTTTGGTACAATTAAACCGATCTTTCTCGAAGCTTGTGTGACTTGTTTACAAGATTCTCCACTTGGGATATTTCACCAGCATCATGGGTGAGCAGCTAGTTGAATAAAGAATAAAAACACCTTAAACTCCAAAAACTTTAAGCCCTCAAGTCAATATTAGTAAATATCATTTTCTTTTATTTAAACATCGTCGGCGACAAATAAATTTACATTTTGTACGGTAGATTGTACAGTAGAATCAAACCGCACGTCAAGTTTTCACCCAAGTTATTACAGTAGTCTGTTCCAATGATCCAACATCGTGACCCCCGGCGCCATCTTGAATCGCTCGGCCGGGCAAAACAGTGAGACGTAAACAGGCCGATTCTCCCCATAAATCCCCGCAAGTTTTTATTAAAAATCGATATAGACACACTTTTAAAAATGATGCGGTCGTCATGGGAAGGTTTTGGTCGCGCGTGGTCCCGACTCGAGCTGGCCGCGGTCGCGTCAGGAAGGTGGTCTACTTGGGCAGAGTGCTTAATGCTTGTGCCTATGGGAAAATATTTTCGGGACTGGAGAAAACCGGTCTATTTGGCCAGTAGGTCGTCTTGACAAGGTGGTCGCATGGGCAGGTTTGACTGTAATTTGGTGCACAGCTGCAAATTTGGGTGCACTAAGTTGCCAGTGTACAAAATACTTCTTTGAGCAACCTACGGCAAATATTAGGTT